TATTCATTCGCGAAGTTGTATTGTAAGACGACTTTCTGTTCCCCGCTAACAATCCGATTATGGTTCCCTCCCGCGTCATCCTCCCACCGACACCCTTATGCAAGCGTAATATATTGTCACCCTCCTCCCCATCTAACCGACCACGATGAAAGTTTCTTTCTACTATTTTAGAGACAAAAATCTTCGCTACGGCGTCTAACGGAATTGCGTGAAATTAATCACGTCCTGCGCGGCAAAACGAGCATGAGGCACGATATCTTGTTCCTTACAAGCCCCTTTCGCACGAATAACGAAAGATATGAATCAGTCGTATAAAATTACACTCGGAATAACGAATTGTACACGATTATTCCGGGAGGAATAGAGAGGCGGCGGGAAGGGGCGGCGGCTGACGGGCAGAAATGTATAACGGTGTTTTCTGAAAAAATTCCATTATTTTTATGCCGTCGGCCGTGATCTGAAATTTCAATTTAAGTTAAATAGCTGTGTATTTTGATATGTAGATGAACGTATCCGAAGAATCATGCCGCGAAGTTTCTTTTTCGGGAGGTATGCACCCTTCTTCCAGTCGAGCTTCTCTTTGTAAAGATTGCGAATAGAGAATTCGCCGGGGCATTGAAGTGAGAATTATTGCGGCAGATTATTCATATTTCAATCGCGTATCGTGCTCATTGTGCCGCATCTTATATAATCACGGACACATAAATAGTTTCTGATATGCGCTTTGTAACAGTTGATAAGATTCATGTTTGAATACTTTGCGAGGCTGGGAAGAACGCTGAAAAATTCTAAATAGAATTATGTTATTATTTGTGAAGTAAACCGCTCGTACTTTAATCATTGTTGAATTATTATTCTTGGGCGTATAAAACGCTTTTTAGAAAATGAGATCATTTGATTTTCTTCTCATCGGCATTGAGAGAATAACCGTCTCTACGTCGAGGACGTTCGACACTATCTACAGATATTTTCCAGTCCGACCTTTATTGAAAATTATTCGCGGTTGTGCTAGCTAGCGAAGAGAAATAGAAAATTCCCGGTTTGGGGCGAGAATTCGCGAGGAGATGGCGGGAGTTAATAGAATTCCTGCAAAATGCCAAGGATGATGCGGCCCTACGTAATCCCACGATATGTCATCCTGTCGAACATTTCACACGACAAAGAGCTTCGCCGACCGATATTCCAATAGCGCTACTCCAATTTGTTGTTGCCTGTTAATAAAACGAGAAAGAGAGAGAGAGAAAGATGTAAATGTGTTTCTACTCCGTTTCATATCATCCATTAATCAATTTGTCGATTGACAAAATACTACTTTTCAACCTTTTTCAGTGCATTTCTACTAAAATAAAACGATAATAATTTGCACGCGTTATCACTTGTCAATATCTTCTTTTATTCCCAGTGGAATGATTACTAAAAATAATTAATGTTTTGCGTTTCGCGAATTTTTGTACAATGTTGGCATTACTCGTCAACAAAAATTTATATATTCACGTTTGATTATAGTTTAATTCCATTTGTATTTGACACAATTTTTATTGTCACTGCGAACCAGATTGATATAAATGGAGTAGAACATCAAAATTCTCAAAACCAATTATGTTGCTTCCTGAAATACAAACGGTTAAAGAAAAGCTTAACAATTAAAGAGGAATATGCAAAAAACAAACAAAAGACAAACGTGGCTACTTGTATACGTAAATATATTTGTAATGATTTTGATAAATAAAACACGGGCTGACAATTCTAGTTTTGATTATGGTCCCTGATCCTCTTTAACGAAGCAACAAATGGAATAGCATGCGTAATATTAAATGACAAAACCGCGAATGTTGGAAAATGAAAGAAAATGTTTAAAACAGGAAAGCGTCATTACATTAGCGATCAACAAATTAAAAATATTCTGTGTCTCTTTCAGCACTTTTGTGCGATCATTTGAAAATGAGCAGATTAAATCGCAATAAAATGTAACTCGTTCGTTAAATTTGATAAAAAGTACGTCCTATACAAGGTGGAAAGAATCGATTATTGTTAAAAGAGTTAATCGTTTGACGCATGTTACTGAAATCGAGTCAGATGTATTGATGATTCGTATAACCAACGACATTCGAGAACGTTTGTTTATCGATATTCCTCACAATATTTCTACTTGGATATTCATAAATAAATGAGGAACGCATTGTGTGTAGTGCAATTTCGCAGTGTAATATGGCTAATCAAAAATAATGCGAAATATTGAAGTTTCGCATCGCCGAGCGACTGAGTTGACAAACATATATGGCCGTAATTTCACGTAACTAAATAACTGCGTCAATTTTCACTATCATTCAGTAAAGAAATAACTTTGCGTTTATATTATCGTGCGCATAATTTGAGGATTTCTGCGTGAAATGTCCCGGCCCCAGGGATTTTTACGCTGTTATATTTCAAAAGTATGACAGAAGCTGCTTTCACAAAGTAATGCAACGTTTTCACATCACGATGCAGATATTTAGAGAGAGAGAGAGAGAGAGAGAGAGAGAGAGAGAGAGAGAGAGAGAGAGAGAGAGAGA